CCAACCTGTCCCTGAGCCACTTAGCTTTTTCACTCACCTGCAGCAGGTCCTATTTTCTTGTTTTTAACCAACTGGCTCACGGCCACTCCCCAGGCTGATCCTTGATCCTGCCAGAGTTGGGAGGGAACCAGCTCTCACTCTGGATGAGGCACGTGTGAGGGTTTAATGCGCTCTTGGGAATCTCAGCATTTGGGTATTCTCAGCAATCAGCAGGGGCAGTCGTGCGTTTCTGGGCCCTCCAGCCTCACCCTGTTTGTCAGCCACCCAGGCCGGGTGACTGCAAGCCCAGGGGCCTTGTGTGCGTGCCTGCATGCTCGCACGTGTGTGTATGCCCGGCGGCGGGGAGTGGGGAGCCGAAGGGCAGTGGGTGGAAGAGGGCCAGAGGCCGCAGGCTGGTCATTATCTCTAGGACAGAATCTTCTCGTCCTTGAATGGGACCATGATGCTCTGCCAAATAGCCAGGCCCTCGCTGTGTCTAATGAAGTTCTCACTGATTATCCTGATGATGTCCCAGGAGATGGGGCCCAGGGAGGCCCATCTGCTGCCAATTCCGGTCCCTCATCCCACTGCCCTGTGGATGTAAGGACGGCCTATGGCTCCCCCACCATGCCCCCACCATAACATCTGTCCCCAAGAGACCCTGTTCCTCAGGCTGAACTGCAATGACAGCCACGGTTTGTTAATTGGACTAATGAGAGGACTGGGCATGGAGAGAGAAAGAAGCTGGAAGAGTGAGACAGAGGGCGATGGAGATGGAAGCAGCCCACAGCACAGGAAAACAGGACAGGATTCTGGATCGGAAGCCATGGCTCACACTCTGGGTATTGAGGGAGACGTTTGAAAGATGGCTTCACAAAACTCACGTTCTGTATAGGAAACCTGCTACGCTTTCGTCAGCGGCAACATTTTAACAGTTCCTTCCACACAGACAGAATCCAGCTCATTGCCTGACCCAGGCAGAAGTGTGGAGTTGCGAACAGTGTGACATTTATCTCAACATTTAAAAAATGTTTTACTTATTTATTTGATTTCTCTGAAAGGCAGCTCCCATGCACTGATTCACTTCTCCAACACCCACAGCAACCCTGGCCAGGCCAAACCAAAGACAGGAACTCAACCCAGGTCTCCCACGTGCATGGTGGGGCACCCAACTACTTAAATCATTTTTGGCTGCCCTCCAGGGTGTGCATTCTCAGGAAGCTGGAGTTGGAAGCAGAGTGGGGACTCGAATCCAGACACTCCTAGGTAGGATGTGTGTGTCCCAAGAAACTTAACCACTGGGCCAATACAATAAGTTGCCTGCCGCTCCTCAGCTCCTCAACAAGATAAGGTTTAAAGTTGGTTCCTGTCAATGAGGCCAGTGGAGTAATCTGCACCAGCAGCTGTGTCCTTCCTGTTTGTCCTCCTGAAGCAGTTCCAGCTGACCAGCCACTGGGAACCTGCTGCTTAAGCAGCTGGGCATGTGGGGCAAAACAGCACAGGGGGCCAGCCGGCAGGGGTCACGCCCTCCCGGGACCGGAGCCGGCCTTGCGGAGAACCCCTCTGGCACCCATCTAGCTTCCTCTGCTCTGGACTTGTTTCATTTTTGCAAAAAAAGTAATAAATGCATGTAAGCTAATTCAAAGGAGAGAGGAAAATACAAAGGAGCAGGTACACCTTGCCCTTCCATACACCCCACACACCCCTACAAGGGTTGCCACTGTTAGCCATTTGTTGTCTTTTGGGGACTTTTTTGCTGTGTAAAACTCTGTCTAAATATGGGCTTGAGTTTTTGTATTTTTGATTATAGCATACAAAATGGCATTGATATATTGATCTCCAATTCAATAACTAGCTCTCCCCAAAAAATTTTTTACCAGTTTTGTATAAAAGTGCTCACTTCCTTCTACCCTAGCCAACAGTGACTTATTTTGTAATTCAAACAAAAAACAACATGCTAGTATGTAAATTGTAAAAAGACCTTTTCTTCTGTCTTTTACCCTGCTTCCTATAAAATTCCCGACCTCTGCCCCAGGCTCCTCACAGAAAAGCCCGGAAGATTGTCAACAGAGGAGAAATGGGAAGGGAGGGAGTTTATGGCTCTATGGAGGGAGCCACAGAGGTGCAACATTACCCAGTACATCATGTATGTTGACTAGAGTTCATGCAGACAGCTGACTAGCTGGCAAAAAAAAAAAAAAAAAAATGTACGAGCAAGCCTTCTGAGTCGGCGTGGGATCTCATTTGATCCTCTGATACTCACACAGCAATGACAAGCAAGGACTGTCTCCCCATTTTACAGTTATTAATAGGTTGGACAAAATGGGTTGGAAGGTCACGGTGCTGCTGCCTCTCCTCTACCACAGCCATAACTTTTATATGTGTGTAAAACATAGGCGTGTGTTTCTAGATATAAACTCTGAGTGCACAATATGTAATTTCTGAACACATATTTAGATCACACCCATTTTATACGTGCAGATATATGCTAAGTGTAACCCAAATATGTGTAATACCATGAATATAAAATGTGGCAGGTGGTAAAGAAGGCACCAAGAGATGGTTTCAAAACAAAACCCCACCTACATGTGACCTGGCAGGCCCTAATACCCAGGTGTGTCAGAGACTAAAGAGGGTGGTGGAATGCTGAGCTATCAGTGAAAGTTCTTAGAGTCACGGTTCTAGAACAAACAATGAGTAACAGGGACTAAGTGCGTGGAGTTAGGGTGCCATGTGGGTTCAAGTCCAGCCTTAACCACATACGAGACACGTGACCTTGGAGAGCTGAGTTAAGTTCTCTGGGCCTCAGATTTTTCATCTGTGAAAAAGAGATAATAGCCGGCGCCGCGGCTCACTAGGCTAATCCTCCGCCTTGCAGCGCCGGCACACCGGGTTCTAGTCCCGGTTGGGGCGCCGGATTCTGTCCTGGTTGCCCCTCTTCCAGGCCAGCTCTCTGCTGTGGCCAGGGAGTGCAGTGGAGGATGGCCCAAGTGCTTGGGCCCTGCACCCCATGGGAGACCAGGATAAGTACCTGGCTCCTGCCATCGGATCAGCGCAGTGCACCGGCCTTGGCGGCCATTGGAGGGTGAACCAACGGCAAAGGAAGACCTTCCTCTCTGTCTCTCTCTCTCTCACTGTCCACTCTGCCTGTCAAAAAAAAAAAAAAAAAAAAAGAGAGAGAGAGAGATAAAAATCTTTTGTTGAGTGGATGGAATTAAACAATACATGTAAAACTTGCAGTGTGCCTGGAATATGTCTTAATAAGTGTGACTATTTTGCCTATTGTCTAAGTCCATGTCCTATCACTAGAACAAAATACCTGAGACCACGTAATCTGTAAGAAAAGGGGTTTAACTGCAGCTGGCGCTGTGGTGCACTGGGTTAAACCACCACCTGCAGTGCCACTCTATCATATGGGTGCCAGTTCGAGTCCTGGCTGCTCTACTTCCGATCCAGCTCCCTGATGATGAGCCTGGGAAAAGCAGCAGAAGATGGCCCAAGTGCTTGGGCCCCTGCCACATGCATGGGAGACCTTTATGGAGTTTCTGGCTCCTGGCTTTAGCCTGGCCCAGCCCTAGCTGTTACAGTCATATGGGGAGTGAACCAGCAGATGGAAGATTTCTCTCTCTCTCTTTCTGTCTCTCTCTCTCTCTCTGTCTTTCAAATACATAAATAAATATTTTTTAAAAAATTTGAAAAGAATTGGGTTTATTCAGCTCACAGTTCTGTAGGCTGGGAAGTCCAAAAGTAGGGCACAGGCATCTGGCAAGGACCTTCTTGCTGTATCTCAACAGGGCAGAGGGCATCGCATAGCAAGACAGCGCAGGGAGCCGGGTACCCACTGCTTAAAAATAGTTATTTATTTATTTACTTACTTACTTTAGATGCAGAGAGATGGTGAGAGAAATGGAGAGAGAAAGAAAGAGAGAGAGAGAGAGAGAGAGAGCCTATCCATGGGTTCACTCCTCAAATGGAGGAAATAACCAGGGCTGAGCCAAGCCAAAGCCAGGAACACGTCCCCCACATATGTGACTGGGATCCCCAAGCACTTGAGCCCTCCCACTGCCTCCTAGAGCCAGCATCAGCAGGAAGCTCAAATCAGGAGCCAGAGCCCAAATGGAACGTAGCTACTCAAGATGTGGTATACAGGCATCTCAATCATTAGGGGAGATTTATTTATGGCCGGCGCCGTGGCTCAATAGGCTAATCCTCTGCCTTGCGGCACCAGCACACCGGGTTCTAGTCCCGGTCGGGGTGCCAGATTCTGTTCCAGTTGCCCCTCTTCCAGGCCAGCTCTCTGCTGTGGCCCGGGAGTGCAGTGGAGGATGGCCCAAGTGTTTGGGCCCTGCACCCCATGGGAGACCAGGAGAAGCACCTGGCTCCTGCCTTCGGATCAGTGTGGTGCGCCGGCCGCAGCGGCCATTGGTGGGTGAACCAACGGCAAAAAGGAAGACCTTTCTCTCTGTCTCTCTCTCTCACTGTCCACTCTGCCTGTCAAAAAGAAAGAAAGAAAGAAAGAAAGAAAGAAAGAAAGCAAGCCAAGAGTCCCCTAACCTATGAATGGATTAACCCATTCATGAAGGCAGAGTCCTGGTGACCCAACTGCCTTCTGATGGTCCCACCTCTCAAATACCATCAGCATAGGACTTTGAGGATTAAGTGTCCAACATGTGAGGTTTGGGAAACACATTCAGACTATAGCAGCTGCATTATTCTGAATTCTTTAGAAGCAACATAGGCGGGCTGAACAGAAAACTAAGCCTACGACTGAAGAAGTAGTAATAATGAAAGATTCAAGCAGTGGTTCTCAGCCCTGGCTACTCCTCAGAATTACCTGGGGAGTTGAAAACAAAACACTGATGTCTAGGCCGATGACATCAGAATCCCCGAAGGTGTTGAGGATCACTGGATTACACAGAGACTGCCATGAGTGTGAAGTTTTCAGGTCTGCTAAGAATCAGGGGATGAAGTTATGTGAAAATCAAAGCTTTACGTTGGCGGGACCTCTGTCTCTGTTACAGGACTGTGCAGGATGATCGTTGATGGATCCTTTTCCACTTTCCCAGCGTCTGCAGTCCTGGGGAAGCCAGCGCTAGGGGCCATGCAGGACACACCTAAAGGCTAAGGTAACTGAAAAGCGAGTATTTTGTAACACATTCTATCCACTGTTGCTAGGATTCGCTGAGAGCGTGCATGTAACCCAAGTTGTTGAGATTGGAGTGATTCTCAAGTCTGTCGTTTGGAATGACGGGACAAGGATGCTGTCTTTCCTGCTCAGCAGGAAACGAGAAGACAGGTGCCCTGGAAGCTGTTTTTAGCCATCTTGGGACAAAGCGGTCAGATTTAGCATGAGGACAGCAGAAAAGAGCGACACTGTTGTATTTCCAGATCTAGCCTTGTTTAGAGCTGGCTGCCTTTGGACTTTGCAGCATCATGGGCTAATAAACTACTGATCCAAGCCTATTTTTGATTAGCTGAAACTGAAAGCCTCACAACAGAGTAATCTTCCGTATGCAGGTAGCAGGAATCGTGGACAGGGCAGCAGGCCTGGTGTTTCTTCTGTTTTACACCAAAATGGCAAGTGTTTTGCTAGCACCTCTTCCTGCCTGTTCTAGAATCAAGGGCCCAAAGCTGACTTCTCTAAACAAAAGCAGATAAATTAGAAACAGGGCAGTCACTTCTCTTCTTTCAAAGTCATGACCAGCTTGAGCTCAGGGTCTTAGGGTCTCCAGGTTAAGCTGCTGAGGAGGAATCACATCAGCTCTGTCATTGCAGCTCTGGCCCTGTCATTCTGCTCCCACACTGCCTGTCACGGCTGCTCTCGGACCGGCTCCAGTCTCATCTCCTACCGCACCACCCTCTGCGCTCCTCGAATGAATTACCTTTTCCATACCTGCCATGCTCTTGTTTCATTCTCCAGTGCCTTTTCTGCATGCAGTCCCCTCTGCCCGCCCTCCCCTCCCCTCCTTTTCTCTGTGGCGCTCTCACGTGCCTTCAGGGTCCAGCTGGAATGCCTCTTTCCCCAGGGAGGGCTGAGGTTCTCTCCTTATCCTTCCATGGGACTTTGTACACACCTGCAGAGCGCCTATCACATGGTGGGGTCCAAGTGTTTCTACACCAATCTCCCCTCCCCCACTCCAGCCATGAGTGCCTCAAGAACAGGGTTGGAGTTGTGGGTAAGCAAACTGGATCTGGAAGAACCCAAGTTAGAACCCCAGCTCTACCATTTATTAGCTCTGTAACATCAGGTTCAATACTTCTCTTTTTTTAACTTGCTTATTTATTTATTTTTATTTTTTATTTGAAAGACACAGAGGGGCCGGCGCCGCGGCTCACTACGCTAATCCTCCGCCTTGCGGCGCTGGCACACCGGGTTCTAGTCCCGGTCAGGGCGCCGGATTCTGTCCCAGCTGCCCCTCTTCCAGGCCAGCTCTCTGCTGTGGCCAGGGAGTGCAGTGGAGGATGACCCAAGTGCTTGGGCCCTGCACCCCATGGGAGACCAGGAGAAGTACCTGGCTCCTGGCTTTGGATCAGCGCGGTGCGCCCGCCGCAGTGCACTGGCCGCGGTGGCCATTGGAGGGTGAACCAACGGCAAAGGAAGACCTTTCTGTCTCTCTCTCTCTCACTGTCCACTCTGCCTGTCAAAAAAAAAAAAAAAAAAGACACAGAGACACAGATACAGAAAGAGATTTTTCCATCTGCTGCTTCACTTCCCAAATGTCTGTGACAGCCAGAGCTGGGCCAGGCAGAAGTCAAGAGCCCAGAACTCAATGAAGATTTCCCACATGGGTGATAGGGACCCATGTACTTGGGCTATCATCTTTTGCTTCCAGGGTGTGCATTAGCAGGAAGCTGGAATCAGAAGTGGAGCCAGGACTTGAACCCAGGCCTTCGGATATGGGACACAGGCGTCCCAAATGCCATCTTAATCCACGTATCAAATGCTCGCCCCCTTGATTTTTCTTTGATTTCATTTCTTCAACAGGACGTTGGGGACTGAAAATCATATCAATGGCAGAGATGACTTTTAGGATTAAATAAAAATACTCCATCTAACGTCTTCTGGCACAGAGCCTTGCACAGGTTGATTATGAAGGTGATGATTACAATGAATGACCACAACTATGATAATCAGTGTCCATCCTGATGTCCAGCCTGTTCTAAGCACTGAGTCCAGGTTGTTGAGGGTGAACAAAGAACAGATTTCTTAACCTCATGACCTCGATTTTAATCTCAGAGAAGCAGAACGTTGTTCTCTGATCAGTGCTGAGTTCCAAAGAATTTGACCCCATACACAGGGTTCGTGCAGCCCTCAGAGAGCTTGCAGCTCAGCCTTCCCTGGTCTCAGTCATCACACCCCCTCTCAGCATTCCCCCTGCAGTCTTGTGCTCCATGCAACCTATGTTGAAATGTTTTTTCAAAATGCATTTTTTTTTTTACTCAAGGCAGCCTGACATTTCTTGCCCACATGAACAGTTTCATTTTTTAAACATTTTGTTTCACTCTGTGGATTTTTTTTCCATAAAAATGTAAACAGTCCCAAAAAGGAAAATTAAGTCTCCTTGCCGCAGTCCTAACATCAGAGATAATTACTGTTGATGGTTTCCCGTATTTCCTTCCACATGCTTTCTTTTTTAAAACTTTAGCATTTTAAAAGTGTAATAGATATACCATAAACCAACTATGCATTAACAGAAATGCTCTAGCTAGCTGCCAGCATGTGGCGCAGTGGGCTAAGCCGCTGCTCCTGGACCTGGCATCCCACATCAGAGTGCCGGGTCAGGTTCTGGTTGCTCCACTTCTGACCCAGCTCCCCGCTAAAGTGGCTGGGAAGGCAGCAGGTAAAGACATAAGTACTTGGGCCCCTGCCATCCATGTAAGAGACCCAGATGGAGTTTCAGTCTCCTGGATTCAGGCCAGCTCAGCTCTGGCTGTTGCAACCATTTAGGGAGTGAACCAGCAGATGGAAGATGTCTTTTGTCTCTCTCTCTCTCTCTCTCTCTCTGTCATTCTGTCTTTCAAATAAATACATACATTTTTTTTAAATGCACTATATATCCATCGTCCTCTAAGAGTTCCTTGTGCTCCTTTGTAATCCATCCTGTGCCCACCAACCGTGTCTGCAAGCAGCCACTGAGCTGCCTTCTGTCTCTATAATTTTCATATACAAGGGGGCCAGTGCTGTGGCACAGCAGGTTAAACTGCTGCCTGTTGTGCCAGCATCCCATATGGATGCCGGTTCGAGTCCCAGCTGCTCCACTTCCAATCCAGCTCCTGGGCCTGGGATAATAATGTGCCTGGGAAAGCAGCAGAGGATGACCCAAGTGCTTGGGCCCCCGCCACCAATGTGGAAGACCCGGATGAAGCTCCTGGCTCCTGGCTTTGGCCTGGCCCAGCCTCCCCCATTGCAGCCACCTGGAGAATGAACCAGCAGATGGAAGATCTCTCTCTCTCTCTCTCTCTCTCTCTTCCCCTTTACCTTTTTTTTTTTTTTTTTTTTTTTGACAGGCAGAGTGGACAGTGAGAGAGAGAGACAGAGAGAAAGGTCTTCCTTTTTTGCTGTTGGTTCACCCTCCAATGGCCACCGCGGCCAGCGCGCTGCGGCCAGCGCACCGCGCTGATCCAAAGCCAGGAGCCAGGTGCTTCTCCTGGTCTCCCATGGGGTGCAGGGCCCAAGCACTTGGGCCATCCTCCACTGCACTCCCTGGCCACAGCAGAGAGCTGGCCTGGAAGAGGGGCAACTGGGACAGAATCCGGCGCCCTGACCGGGACTAGAACCCGGTGTGCTGGCACCGCAAGGTGGAGGATTAGCCTATTGAGCCACTGCGCCGGCCCACTTTACCTTTCAAGTAAACAAATAAATCTTTAAAAGCAAATTTCATATTGTAGAATTTTTTTAAATATTGTATTTATTTGAAAGACAGAGTTACAGAGAGATGTAGAGACTGAGAGAGAGAGAGAGGTCTTTCACCCGCTGGTTCACTCCCCCAAATGACCACGATGGCCAGAGCTGAGCTGATCCAAAGCCAGGAGCCAGGAGCCTTTTCCAGGTCTCCCATGCAGGTGCAGGGGCCCAAGGACTTGGCCATCTTCCATTGCTTTTCCAGGCCATAGCAAAGAGCTGGATCGGAAGTGGAGCAGCTGGGACTCGAACCAGCGCCCATATGGGATGCCGGCACTGCTGGCCGGGGCTTTAACCCTCTGCGCCACAGTGCTGGCCCATATAGTAGAATTTTACGTAAATGAAGTGGCACTCCAGGTTCTCTCTTTTTCTGGGTTCTTCCACAGAGTGTAGTTGTTTTTGAGATCTACCCATGTTGCTACATGTATCAGTGGTTGATTATTTTGAACTGTATCTGATGAGTCTACCTCAATTCATCTATCCATTCATTACTTAAGTCATTTCCCATTTTTGTCTATTACCAAAAAAAAAAAAAAAAAAAAAACTGCTGTGGACATTCACTTACAGGTCTTTGTGTAGACATACAAACCAGTCTGATTTTAATGCCTGTTAAAACAGCAGCCAGAGCTGTGACTGAGGAGGGGTGTGAGTGGAAACACTTGAGCTATTTCTTTCTCAGTGTGTGTAGAGCTCACATTGTATAAAATCTTAAGCATCCAATTATCCGAGTGTTTGCAAATAGGAATTGTTGAGTTACTTGCAGACTTAAATTTCACGGGTCCAAGCCCCCACCGAGTAGAGGCCCAAGTGAAAAACCATCACTTGTTGGAGGATTCCGGAGAGGGGCACTGGTCATCTTTTCCTTGAATGCCTTGAAACACTGGCAAGGAATTTCTGGAGGGCAGGCGCTCTGTTACTGCGGCATCCCAGCACCTAGCAACCCGGGCACACATAGACACAAATATTTCTTGCTAAGGCGTTCTTTCCACGTTTGGATAGTTCCAAGTATTATAAGGTCTTTCCTTAAGTGGAGCAGATCATTGATCTGCCTTGCTGCCCTAATTATAATCTCAGGAGCCATATTTTCCACATGAAGCACTGAAAATATTTGAAAACAGGTCTTTTATTTCTCTAAGCTAAACAGGCTCAGGGTCTTTAACCATAGGGGTTAAGACACAATTTCACTTAAGACCTGGTAGACTGGGTTTCTTTCTCCTGGAAGGC